CATAGCCATTACGCTAACTGCTGGTTCCCTCTCTCATCAGATTTTTAAAAATAATAATAACAAATAAAATTAATTTTAAATAATTCATTTAAAAGAAAAAGGTGTTGGGACCAGCAGATGGCATAGCAGTTACGTCACTGGACTGCTATGTAGCTGACTGCAATTTGAGCACCAGACCCAGTGGCTTAAAACTTAAGCCAAGTGTGCGTGCATGAGTGCCCAAAATCCTGAGAGGCGAATGGAGGAGAAGGAACTGTGGCAAGGCTATTCCCCCCTGGAGGAGTGATATCTTGCTTTCTGTTTGTCTCTGGCAAGTGCACGTGCCCTATAGCAAAATTCTCTCTTAAAAATAAATAAATACACCCTTGTCATTTCCAGCTTGTCATCAGAATTGTACACATGACAGATGTTGATATCAACATCTTTTTTAATAATTTATTTATTTATTATTATTATTAATTTGACCAGTGAGAGACAGAGGAACTGAAAAGGTAAGCCACCAGGTCCAGGACTTAAACCGTGGTTTACTATATGAGGGTACAGCTCCTTAACCACCACACCACCTGCTGACCCCAGTATCAACATCTTTAAGTGCAACGTTTGTGCTGTAGGTTGGTTTAGGTTTTTATCACAATATCTGGTTCTTATTAGAATGTCTTATTTGGATCAGCAGGTGGCGTAGTGGTTAAGGTGCTAGAGTCCCACATGGCCGACTGAGGTTCAAATCCTGGACTTGGTAGCTTGAAAATCATGCTGGACACATGCATGTGCCCAAAACCCCAAGTGGAGAATGGAAGAGAAGGGATGGCAGGGTTTTTTTGACAAATTAAGCCAGGGTTTCCTATCTTTTTGGCACCAAATACCATTTTTATTTCTTCTGGAAACTCCATATTTTGAAATATTTGTTACAGTGAATTTATAAAGAGATCATTTATTGGTCTAGCCAGTGGCATGGTGGTTAAGGCGGCTAGATCCCACGTGGCCTACTGCCCAGTTAAAATCCTGGACCCTGCTTGAAAATCATGCCTCATGCTTGTGCATGTGTGCCCCAAATCCTGAGAAGAGAATGGAGGCCAGTGCACATGCCCTATGGCAAGATTAACTTTTTTAGTTACTTATTTAATTTTAAAGAAATTATTTAATTTTATTTATTATTATTATTTTAATTTGACCAGAGATAGACACAGAAAGAGAAAAAGAAAGGAAAAGTGAGAAAGCAAGCCACCAGGCTCAGGACTCGAACTGCAATCGGCCACGTGGGGTCCAGCACCTTGACCACCATACCACCTGCTTGCCCCTCATAGAAAATTTTTAAAAGAGGAAAACAGAGGGGCAGCAGGTGGCATGGTAGTTATGTTGGACTCTCACATGACCAACACAGCTCATGTCCCAGACATGGCAGCTTGAAAATCACACTGGGCATGTGCCTGTGCCCAAAATCCCTGGAGGAGAACGGAGGAGAAAAGATTGCGGCGTGGCCATTTCCACAGGCAGTGATTTCTCCCTTTCCCTCTCTTGTCTTTCTCTGGCAAACACATGGACCTTACGGTAAAAAACAAAAAAGGAAAAAAGAAATGGTTTATTTTCCCATTTCTTTTTTAGGGACACGTGACCGGTTAGAATCTCTGTTCAGAACAAGATAAACAGGTGTTACCACACCCTGTTCATACATTAGAATCTAAAACAAAGACTTAGTGTTTTTCTCCGATATTAAATCATAGTTGTGGTACGGGAACCAGCAGTTAGCGTAATGGCTATGTCACTGGCCTCCCACGTAGTCGACCACGGTTCTCGTCCCGGACCTGGTGGCTTAAAACTCACGCCGGGCACGTGTGCGTGCGTGCCCCAGATCCCGAGAGGAGAATGGAGGAGAAGGGATTGCGGCGTGACCATCCCCCCTGGGGGGTGATTTCTCGCTTTCTGTCTCTATGTCTCTGTCTGTCTGGTGAGCACATGCACCCTATAGCGAAAAACCTCTCAAAAAAAAAAAAAAATCATAGTTGTGGTGTTCCGGTTCTCTTGGACATTATAAAATGTTGAAAATGGCTAGTTGGCCCCAAATAGGGACTAGAGAAGCATGGCACTGAACTTCCACACGGTTGACTGTGGTTTAAGCCCCCCTAGACCCTGTAGCTTGAAAATCATGCCTGGGCGTTTGTGCATGCTTGCTGGAAATTCCAGAAGGGATTGCCGTGTGACTACTGGGGGGCAGTGATTTCTCACTTTCCCTCTCTGTCTCTCTCTAAGGAGAGCACACATAACCTAAGGCAAAAAAAAAAAAAAAAAGACAATTGTTTAAAAGGAGAGGGGGGAAAAAGCAGTTCTAGGGTGGTCTTTTTCCTTTAGAATGGGCCATTGATTTTTCCTTTTTATGTCACAGAGATCTCATTGTAGACTAGTTATTTGATTTGTCTTGGTATTGTTTTCATTATTTATTTTTATCGCTTGTTTTAGGAAGGAAGACTTCAAGAAGTCATCGAAACCCTTCTGTCTTTGGAAAAACAGACCCGTACTGTGAGTAGATGATAGTAAAAAACCTTAATTATCATTATCTTAACTTAACGTCATTCCATTAATTTTCAGTATATTTTTATTCTTACAGGCTTCCGATATGGTGTCTACATCCCGTATCTTAGTTGCAGTAGTGAAGATGTGCTATGAAGCTAAAGAATGGGATTTACTTAATGAAAATATTATGCTTTTATCAAAAAGGCGGAGTCAGTTAAAACAAGTAAGTTTATGATTGCTCAAAAGACATGCATTTGCATTTAAATACGGAATTTTGGAAAACTCTTCTGTGAATCTGTTTAAAATTGTTAGAGTCCGGCCAGGTGGCATGGCGGTTAAGGCAGCTGGATCCCACATAGCCAACTGTGAGGCCCAGTGGCTTGAAAAATAACCAGGAGCTTATGTTTCTGTGCCCAAAATCCCTAGAGGCGAATGAAGGAAAAGGGACTGAAGCATGGTCATCCCCCTTAGGGGATGCTTCCTCCCTCCCTCCCTCTCTCTCTGTCTCTGTCTGTCTCTGGCAAGTGCATGCACCTATAGTAAATTAAAAATAAAAAATCAACATTACAGCATTCTTGAAGGTATCTTAAAATTCTACACATATTTTCACAATTACATAATTCTTTTTATTTATGTTATATATACATATGTGTGTGTGTTTTTAAAGAGGTTTTTGCTATCGGGCACATGCACTTGCCCAAGAGACAAAAAGCGAGAAATAATCCCCCAGGGGGTATGGCCACGCCGCAATCCCTTCTCCATTCTCCTCTCGGTATCTTGGGCACACATGCATACATGCCTGGCGTGAGTTTAAGCCACCAGGTCCAGGACTCGAACCATGGTCAACTACATGGGAGTCCAGCAACATAGCCATTACACCAACTACTGGTCCCAATTTTTAAATTAAGAGGTTTTGCCTTACAGCATGTGTGCTTGCTGGACAGAAAGACAGTGAAAGAGAAAGTAAGAAATCACTCCCTAAGGGGAGATGGCCATGCCACAATCCCTTCTTATTCTCCTCCTGGGATTTTGGGCATGTACATACGCCTGGCATGAGTTTCAAGCCACCAGGTCCAGGACTTGAACTGCAGTCGGCCATGTGGGAGTTCAGTGATATAACCACTATGCCATCTGCTGATCCCCTCTGTTTTCCTTTTAGTCTGTATATTTGTGTATGTTACAATATTACAGTTATATTTGGCGTATTGTGGTAGCTTTGAATTTTGTTCCCACATCACTCCTTCATTTTTATTATTTTGTTAGAATCTCATTAATTTAATCATATCTCTTTCATTAAACACTTAATTTTGGGGGAAGGGGAGGTTTTGCCTTAGGGCACATGTGCTTGATAGAGAGAGACAGAGACAGTGAGAGGAGACGTGAGAAATCATCACCCAGAGGGGTGGCCATGTTGCAGTCCATTTGCCTCCTGGAGTCTTGGGTACATACGCATGCTCACACGTTGGTATAATGATTACATCGCTGTAAATCATGGTTCGAGTCCCAGGCCTGGTGGGTGAGTATGCATGCCCAAGATCCCAAGAGGAGAATGGATTACCCTTGTGCTGGTCCTGGGATCAGGATCTTGTTGAAGCATTTCTTCAAATAATTGTAACATGAATTTGCATTTTACCGTTGTAGTCACAGTATAGAACTTTCCCAGTACAATCCAGAAGACAAAGCACCATCAAAGCAATGGCTACCAAGAGGTGGAAGTGGCCCTGTGAAAGTAAAAGCAGACCATCGAGAACAAAAGTCATGGCAACAGTTTCTTAGGATGCTTCTGGCATTTTGCTTGTTGACCCTGGAGAGCCAAAGAACAGTAATATTTGCATATTATGGGAGTGTTTTGAGACAGCCAAAACTGTAGAAGAAAAGTGCCCAGCAGTTATCTTCCATCACAGTGCTCCTGCTTGTCCCTCTAATCAAATAAAGCTATTTTGCCAAAGTTTTTATGGGAATTCATTAGACATCTACTTGCCAGTCCTTATTTGGCTCCTTCTAATACCTTTTTGTTTTCTAATCTGTTTCAAATTATTTTCATTTTATATATTCATTTATTTTCATTTGACCAGAGAGCGAGAGGCGAGAAAGTGAGCCAGATCTGGGACTTGAACTATGGTCGGCCATGTGGAGAGTATCTAGCACCTTAACTACCACGCCACCTGCTGGCCCCTTTAAAAAAATATATTTTATGTAACTTTATTTACTTAGTTTAATTTGACCAGAGAGGGACAGAATGAGAGAGAGAAAGAAAGTGAGAAAGCAAGCCACCAGGTCTGGGACTCGAACCACAGTTGACCATGTGAGAGTCCAGTGCTCTTTACCAACACACCAACTGCCGGCCCCTTGTTTCCTGATCTTAAAAAAAAAAACACTAAAGTACACCCAGTTTTCTTCAGGTAAAAATGCAAAAAAGACAGTTGACTTTGTTAAATTCCAAGGACCCTCAGTTATTTAGGAATCAACTAAATGGCTGATATCACTTTAAAAAGTATCTTGAGGGACCAGCAGATGGCGTGATGGTTACATTGCTGGGCTCCCATGTACTTGACCACTGTTTGAGTCCGACCTGGTAGCTTGAAACTCACACCAGGTACATATGTGTGTGTGTGTGTGCGTGTCCAGGATTCCAAGAGGAGAATGGAGGAGAAAGATTACAGTGTGGCCATCCTCTCTGGGGGGGTGATTTCTCACTTTCTGTCTTTCTCTTTCTGGTGACCACACACATCCTCTAGCAAAAATTTCTCTGTAAAAAAATAAGCGTCTTTAACTTGATAGAGCTCATGTTAAGAAATAGTGTTTATATTTTTGCCCCTTTTTTGAGAGATTTTTGCTATAGGGCATGTGCATCGTCAGAGAGACTGAAAGTGAGAAATTACTCCCCAGAGGGGATGGCCACACTGCAATCCCTTCTCCATTCACTTCTCGGGATTGTGGGCACACGTGCACACACACCTGGTGTGAGTTTAAAGCTGCTGGGTCCAGGACTCAAACCATAGTCGACTACATGGGTGTCCTGTGATGTAACAATTATGCCATCTGCTGGTCCCATATTTTTACCTTTTAATTCCATCTTGCACAAGCTTTTTGAATTCCCTTCATTTCTGCTGGTCAAGCCACTGGTGAACTATACTTTTCCCTTCCCTTTCTCCCCTTTACTCTGCTACCATTTATTCTATGGTTTCCTGCTTGGCCACATCTTTACTTCTGAGGCTTTCCTAACTTTTTTTGATGTGTCAGTGCTTCTGTCAGGGAGGTTTTGATGTGCTTTTGGGGCATTTCAGTTTCTAGAGTTGTTTGGAAAGACCACATTTGACCACAGCTCTCCCATCAGTTAACATTATTTTTCATATATGAGGAATTAATTTTGCTTACTCATGCTTTGTAATTTTTTAGGCTGTTGCAAAAATGGTTCAACAGTGCTGTACTTACGTTGAAGAAATCACAGACCTTCCAGTCAAACTTCGATTAATTGATACTCTACGAATGGTTACAGAAGGAAAGGTAAGTTTCCTGTGTTCATAATTTACTGTGGTAAGTACTGTGTTGTCTGTATTCAGAGATACTTACACATTTAATCATTTTATTATGTAAGTCTGAATCTGTGTGTGTGTGTGTGTGTGTGTGTGTTTTAAAGAAAAAAACACAAAATATCATTGTCATGATCCAACCAATGTTAACTTTGTATATCCCCTGCTAGTGTATGTGCAAATGGATATACTTAATAGTGACAGTCTTGCTACATCCAGGTTTTTCTAGGAATTAGTGGTCCTATCCCAAATTTATATGTAGTTTTTTAAGAATGAATAAAAATTTGAGGCCGGCAGGTGGCATAGTTAGGGCAGCTGGACTTCCACATGGCTGACCGTGATTCGAGTCCCAGACCTGACAGCTTGCTTTCTCACTTTTCTTCTGTCTCTCTCTGTGTCTCTCTAGTTGACTTCTCTGTCTCTCTTTAGTCAAATAAATAAATAACAACAATGAATAAAATTAAATAAAAAATAATTCTTTTAAAAAATGAATAAAGGGACCAGCAGTTAGCGTAAAGGAAAAAATGAGTAAAAATTCTACTGGGGTTAGGGAGAAGGGCATTTTAGGCCTAAGGGAAATTATATATAAAGATATCAAAATAAGAAACACATGAGGGGCCAGCGTAGTGGTTAAGGCACTGGACTCCTATATGACTGACCATGGTTAAGTCCCAGACCTGGTGGATTGCTTTCTCAGTTTCTCTTTCTCTCTCTGGTCAAATTGAAAAATAAAGAATATCAAATAAAGCTAAATGAATAATTTTTTTTAATAAAAAAACACACGGTATATTTAGGAAATGAAGTAGTTATATGTTACTGAGAAGTAAGGTTTTTGTCAATTGGGTGTGAAAAGAATGCTGTAGAGCAAAGGCTGAGGGGTATATAGGGTGCGCAGACCTACACTGGACAGGCATTCCCTGACTCTTCAGGTTGTGGTTGGAAACTAAATCTATTAACATTTCCAACTTAGTAACTTTTTTTTAAGATTTATTTAATTTTATTTATTATCACCATTCTTCAATTCTGACCAGAGAGAGACACAGAGAAAGGAGAGAGAAAGCAAGCCACCAGGTCCAGGACTTGAACTGTGGTCAGCTTTGTGGGAATCCAGCGCCTCAATAACCATGCCACCTGCTAGTTGATTCTTATAGTTAGTAACTTTAAAGTTAGTAAGTTTAATACTTAGTATGGTCAGATATTTTTAAAGAAGTAGCCTTGTATTTAAAGCTAATCAGGATTAGAGTATTGGTCGATTGTAGATAGTGGACTGTGTGTGCTGTTAAGTGTGTTATTTTTCAAATAATTCTTTTAAAGGCACTTTCCATTTTTTTGTGCCATTAATGTTGTTTTTAGTCCTGTTATATGTTAAATGAACACAGCAACTTCAAAATCATGTTCTTGAAGCAAAGGTGCAAGAGATGTTTTCTTAAAAATTATGTCTGTACGGGCCAGCAGGTGGTGTGGTGATTAAGGTGCTGGATGCTCCATCATGGCCAGTCACAATTCAAGTCCCAGACCTGGTGGCTTGCTTTCTCACTTCCTCTCTCTTTCTGTGTGTGTATGTCTATCTCTGATCAAATTAAAATACATGAATGAATGAATGAATGAATAAAATTAATTAATTGGGTTTTAATTACAGCTATATTTGTGAAATGTAGTATCACCACTTTCTTTGTACATGGAAGATGAAGTGCCCAATAGCTGCAAGATATGTACTCTGATGCCTCGTTTGAGTAAGAGTTACACCTTTTAGATTTTACAACATTTCTACAGAAACTTTGATCATGTACATTTTTCTTGCTTGTAGATTTATGTGGAAATCGAGCGTGCTCGGCTGACTAAAACATTAGCCAGTATAAAAGAGCAGAACGGTGATGTGAAGGAGGCAGCCTCCATTTTACAAGAGTTACAGGTAAGTTACAGCTGCTGCGTTTTGGAGTTTGTAAAACTTCCTGTGTAGTCAACAATGCTTTCTTGTGGCAGTAACTTATTTTGGCATCTTACCACTTTTTTTTAAACCAGGGTGAGTGCAGGAGAATGTGCAGTTATTTAAGCAGCCGGAGAGTGCATCATCACAGTCTAGTAAATGTAACTGCTAAAAAAATTTTGAAAAAAGTTAGGAGCAGCCTATGGCGTGGTGGTTAAGGAGGGGATCCCATGTGCCCATTGTGTGGCTCAAGTCCCAGACCTGGCAGCTTGAGAAACACACTGGGCATGTGTGCGTACATGCCTAGAATCACAATGGGAGGGAGAGGTGGAGGAGAAGGGATGCCCCATAGAGGCTGCTTTCTCTTTCTCTCTCTGCCCACCCTGCCTTTCCCTTTCCCTTTTAGAGTGGGCTGGGAATCAAACTCTGGCCTCCCGTATGATCTTAACTAGTTCATCTCAGTATTGTTCTTTTTGGATAGGTACATGATTGAAAAGTTAAAATAGAAGCTTAATTCCTGTAGTTAACTAGTTTTTTGTATAAACACTTTGTGTATGCATAAAGGTTCTTATTATTTGATAAGAGTGAACATTTTAATGTTTGCTTTTTTGGTGCAGTTCATAAAGATGACTAAGCATTGTTCATTTATTTTGGGAATTACATTACAGGTTGAAACCTATGGGTCAATGGAAAAGAAAGAGCGAGTGGAGTTTATTTTGGAGCAAATGAGGCTCTGCCTAGCCGTGAAGGATTACATTCGGACACAAATCATCAGCAAGAAGATTAACACCAAATTCTTCCAGGAAGAAAATACAGAGGTGAGCATGTCTCTGACAACATGTGACTATATGTTGATAAGTGATTGAATCAAATCCCCCATTTATTTTGTCTACTTTTTTCCAGAAATTAAAATTGAAATACTATAATTTAATGATTCAGCTGGATCAACACGAGGGATCCTATTTGTCTATTTGTAAGCACTATAGAGCAATCTATGATACTCCTTGTATACAGGCAGAAAGTGAAAAATGGCAACAGGTAAGAGTACATTTGCTTTTACAATTTTCTTAAGTATTTTTTTTTTTTTTTTTTTTTTTTGAAATAGACAGGAATTTCCGGCAAGATCTTGCCACCTAATGATTCCTTCCACCACCCCAGCCCTCCAGTTAACCAGGATCACAAGTGCACCCAGTATGTTCAACCCAAACCAAACTCCAGGCCCTTCTGTATAGCTCCAGCATTGTGCAGTAGCACTCTCCTGCCTGTACCACCAGAGTTGGGCCAGGAATATATTCTGGTTTTACTTTTGTTTTTTTTAGTTTGCTATAAGGTGCATGCCCTTGTCAGAGAGATGCAAGAAAAGTGAGAAATCATCCCCGGGGGGGGGGGCGGTGTGTGGCCATGCCACAGTCCTTTCTTCACTCCTTTCTTGGGATTTTCAGCATGGATGCACACATACCCAGCATGTTTTTCTTTTTTCTTTTTTTTTTTTTTTGGAAAGGTTTTTCTGCTAGAGAGCTCATGCGTTCACCCAAAAGACAGAGAGAGACAGAAAGCAAGAAATCACCCCCCGGGGGATGACCACGCCACAATCCCTTGTCCTCCATTCTCCTCTCAGGATCTTGGGCACGCACGTACATGTGCCCGGCATGAGTTTAAGCCACCGAGTCCGGGACTCGAACCCTGGTAGTCTACATTGGAGTTCAGCAACATAGCCATTACGTTAACTGCTGGTCCCCTGGGCATGTTTTTCAAGCTGCTGGGTCTGGGACTCAAACTGTAGTTGGCCATGTGGAATCCCACACCGTAACCTCTATGCTACCTGCTGGCCCCAAGAATATATTCTTTTATTTGATACTGACACCATTAGAAAGAAGGATTTGTATTTTTAAATTAATTTTCAACTCGTTTTAATTTCAGCAGTTATACATAATTGGTCTTACTTTCTGTTCATGTGTAGCTATTCTGTATGTGTGTCCCTACTGATTACAGACTAATTTGGAGAGTAGTTTGAATTATGTATCATTTTATTTTATTTAACTATGAATTATGTATCATTTTACTTTATTTAGCTATTTATTTAAATTTGACCAGAGAGGGACAGAGCAAGAGAGAGAGTGAGAAAACAAGCCACCAGGTCCGGAACTTGAACCATAGTCAACCACGTGGAAGTACAGCACCCCTAAGCACCATGCAACCTGCCTGCCAGCCCATTATAAAAGATATTTTAAAGAGCTTGTCTATTCCACATATATGCTGCTGATTTGTTAAAGAGGTTTTTTTTTTTTTTTGATGAATTCATCAGAATGTCCAACAAAATGTCAACTGAGATAGTAAGTCAAATTAGCAAAGATCCACTATGATAGTTTATGAAAGCTAAATATTACAGAAAGACACTGTGAAGAAGGTGGCCTGGTAAGATTTTTCCCTCTAAGACTTTGTTATTTATTTATTTTTAAAATTACAATATTAAAAATTAGTATGAGGAGCCAGCAGTTGGCATGGTGGTTAAGGCGCTGGGTTTCTGGACCCAGCAGCTTGAAAATCACGCCAGTACTGTGCATGTGTGCCCAAGATCCCAAGAGGAGGATGGAGGAGAAGGGATTGTGGCATGGCTGTCCCCCTGATGGGGTGATTTCTTAGTTTCCCTTTATCTTTCTGTCTCTGTTTCTCTGTCAAACACATGCCTCCCTATGGCAAAAACCTTAAAAAAATAAAAAATGAAAATAAGGCCAGTCCCATAGCTCATCATTTAAGGGAACCACATAACTGTGGTTCAAATCTCAGCCCCAGTGGCTTGAAGACATGTTGAGCACATGTACATGCATGCCCCAAATCCTTACAGGATGGAGAAATTGAGGAAAGAGATTGCAGTGTAACCACATCACACTGAGGAGGGCCGGGTGCTTACTGGTCTTTCCCTTTCTCTGTCCAATGTACATATCCTCTGGCAATGGAAAAAAAAAAAGAATACGTAATAGGGACCAGCAGGTGGCATGGTGATAAACGTGCTGGACTCCCAAATAACCAGTTGCGGTTCAAGTCGTAGACCTGGTGGCTTTCTCTCTCTCTCTCTCTCTCTCACTGGTCAAATTTTTTATAATTAATTAATTTTTAAAAAATAGTACATAGTTATTGTGTAGTTTTTCTGTTTTTGTCAGTTTCCCTATGTGTCTAGTCTCGTGTGTAACCTATTATACAACTTTTTTAGGCCCTGAAAAGTGTTGTCCTCTATGTTATCCTGGCTCCTTTTGACAATGAACAGTCAGATCTGGTTCACCGAATAAGTGGTGACAAGAAATTAGAAGAAATTCCCAAGTACAAGTAAGTACTTTTGTAATTAGCATGGTATATCTCAGTAAAAACACCATTTTGAAAGAAGATTGGTAACCTAAATGCACACCTTTTAATTGGTTGCTGATAGATTGTATTAGGAGAGTAAAACTAGGGGGCTGACAAGTGTTGTGGTGGTTAGGCACTAGACTCCCACATGGCCGACCGTGGTTCAAATTTTGGACCTAGCAGCTTGCTTTCTCAGTTTCTCTCTCTCCCTTTCTACCCATCCCCTTGTGATCAAATAAATAACTACATAAATAAATAAATAATTCTTAAAAACAAAAAAAGACCATTACATAATGTAGAGGACCAGCGAATGGCATAATGATTACGTTGCTGGACTCCCATATAGTCAGCCACAGTTTAAGTCGACCCACCAGTTTAAAACTCATGCTGGCATGCCTAAAATCCCAAGAGGAGAGTGGATTGCGGTGTGGCCACCCCCCCCTCCCCAGGGCATGTTTCTTTTTTCTGTCTATATGGCAAACAGACACACCCTATAGCAAAACAAAAAGGGGTAGGTGGAGGCTTGCAGGTGGCGTGGTGGTTAAAGGCGCTAGACTGCCACATAACTAACCAAGTTCAAGTCATGAGGTGGGTGGCTTGCTTTTTCACGTTCGTGCATGCGTGCACACACGTGTCCGCCCTCCCTCCCTCTCTCTGTCTCTCTGTCTTACCAAACTAGAAAATAATAACTAAAGTTAAGCAATGTAATTATTTTTTTAAATGTAATGTAAGATTGTGATAAATTTTACTCTTTTATAAAACCTGATTTAATTTTTAGTCATGATTATTTTCTTCTTTTTCATTGATTTATTTATTTATTTATTTTGAGAGGCTTTTGCTATAGGGCATGTGCACTCGCCAGAAAGACAGAGAGACAGACAGAAAGCAAGAAATCACCACCCGGGTGGGGGGATGGCCACGCCGCAATCCCTTCTCCTCCATTCTCTTCTCAGGATCTTGGGTACGCATGCACATGCACACAGCTTGAGTTTAAGCCACCAGGTCCAGGACTCAAACCACTGTCCACTACATGGAGTTCAGCAACATAGCCATTACACCAACTGCTGATCCCTCTTTTTCATATTTTTAAATAATTTTTTTATTTAATTGTTTTTTATCTGTTCATTTATTTATTTTAATTTGACCAGAGAGAGAGAGAGTGAGAAAGCAAGCCACCAGTTCAGGACTTGAACTGTAGGTCAATCATATGGGAGTGTCCTGCGCCTTAACCACCATGCCTCCTGCTGATCCCTCATGATTATTATTTTTTAATCTGATCAGAGAGAGAGGGAGAGAAAGGGAAAGCATGAAAGCAAGCCACTAGGTCTGGGACTCGAGCCACGGTCAGCCATGTGAGAATCCAGTATCTTAACCACCATGCCATTTGCCAAGCCCATAATATATTTTATTCTAAAGTACTTATCAACTGAAAGTTTTATATCAATTCTACTTTAGCAGGGTTTGGACAATTAATCATTTGACAAAGTTTCATCTTTAATAGTTGGGGCTTTGGGAGCTGGCAGATGGCATGGTGGTTAAGGGTGCTGGACCTCCCACATTGTTGTCCATGGTTCAAATCTTGGACCTGGTGATTACTTTCTCACTCTCTTCCCATTCTCTCACTGGCTCTGTCCCTCTCTGGTCAAATTTAAATGAATAAATAAAGTTATATAAAATAATTCTTAAAAAAAAATAGTTTAGGGCTTTGTGATTCAGAAATACATACCTCTGAAATTCTATATGAAATAAACGGGCTTTATCATAAGCATATGGACTTTTATTTATTTTTATTTTTGACAATTCTATATTTTTTAAAGAATTATTCATTAATTGTATTTATTATTAATAATAAAGGCTCAAGATAAGGGATTGCAGCATGGCCATTTCCCCTGGGGAGTGATTTCTCATTTTCTCTCTTTCTGTCTCTCTGGTGAACATAGTGGCTAAGATGCTGGACTCCCACATGGCCAACCACGATTTGAATCTTGGACCTGGCAACTTGCTTTCTCACTTTCCCTTTCTCTCACTCTCTCTGGTCAAATTACAAAATAATAACCACAAGCAAAATCAAATAAAGAAATCTTAAAAAACAAACAACACAAAAATTTTGGTTTTTTCGGAGGGCTAGCCAGGTAATGTGGCGGACAAGGCAGCTGAAGTCCACATGACCAGCTACCTGGTTCAGATCCTGCACCTGGCAAGGTGAAAAACATGCCGAGTGTGTGTTGCTGCACATGTGTGCCCAATATCTTTTTGTTTTTAATTATTTTACTTAACTTTATTTATCAATTTATTTAATTTTTTCTTTTGAGAGGTTTTTGCTATAGGGCATATGTGCTCAACAGAAAAAGACAGACAGAAAGTGAGAAATCATCCCTCAGGAAGGATGGCCATGCCGCAGTCCCTTCTCCTCCATTCTCCTCTCAGGATCTTGGGCACGCACGCACACGCACCCAGCGTGAGTTTAAGCCATCCAGTCCAGGACTTGAACCACGGTCGACTACATGGGAGTCCAGCAACACAGCCATTAAGCCAACTTTTGGTCCCTGTTTATCTTAACTTGGCCAGAGAGGGACAGAGCTAGTGAGGGAGGGAGGGAAAGATAGAGAAAGCAAGCTGCCAGGTCTGGGACTCGAACCACAGTTGGCCATGTGGGAGTCCAGCACCCTTAACTGCCATACCACCTGCTGGCCCCGAGCCCAATATCTTGAGAGGAGACAGAAGAAAAAGGGATTGCTTCATTGTCATCCCCCCTGAGGGGAGCTTTCTCACTTTCCCTCTCTCTTGCTCTGTCTCTCTCCAGTGAGCATACATGCCCTATAGCAAACTAAAAAAAAAGCTTTAACTTTTAAAATAAAATATGCTATTATATTAGATAATACTTAACTTTTACAGATTTGGAATATTAAGTTTTATACCATTTACAGGGATCTTTTAAAGCTTTTCACCACAATGGAGTTGATGCGTTGGTCCACACTTGTTGAGGACTACGGAATGGAATTAAGAAAAGGTTCTCTTGAAAGTCCTGCAACAGATGTTTTTGGTTCTACAGAGGAAGGTGAAAAAAGGTGGAAAGACTTGAAGAACAGAGTTGTTGAACATGTAAGAATCTGGCATGAAAGAGATGACAGAATTTTAGCCTTTAGTGAATTTACTATTTAGAAGTATCTTAGGATTAACTTTGGCACATTAGAGCATAAACTATTCCAGTGTTTTAAAGTTTAATAAGCAAATATTTATTTTGGATGTTATGTTTTTAATTCCTCAATTTAGGACTTCTTTTTTCCTATGCCTAGTATAATAGTGATGTAAATTTATTGATCAAATGTTTATATTTCCAGGCTGACTCCATGACCTAGTGGTTAAGACAACCAGATATCACATGGCCAGCTGCATGGTCCAGAACCTGGTGGCTTGAAAAACACATCAAACATGTGTATATGCATGCCCAGAGTCCCAAAAGGAGGGAAATGGAGGAGAAGGGATTGCAGTGTGACCATTCTCCTTGGGGAAGTGCCTTCTCTTGCTCTGTTTCTCTGACGAGCACACATACCCTCTAGGGAAAAAAAAAAAAAGACAAATGTTTATATGTCCCAAAGTATATCAGAATTCTTGTGATCCCACTTATCTCCCTCCCCATTTTTGACTTTTCAGAAAAAATATTTTTAATAATTATTTTATTTATTCATTTTTTAAAATATTTTTAAGAATTATTTTTTATTATTTTAACTTTATTTATTTATTTAAGTTTGACCAGAAAGGGACAGAGTGAGAGAGAGAGAGAGAGAGAAAGTGAGAAAGCAAGCCACCAGGTCTGGGACTCAAACCGTGGTCAGCCATGTGGGAGTCCGACGCCCTTAACCACCATGCCACCTGCTGGCCTCTTATTTATTTATTTTAATTTGACCAGAGAGAGACATAGATAGGGAAAGTGAAAGAAAAAAAAGCCACCAGGTCTAGGACTCAAACCACTTTGGCCATTTGGGAGAGTCTAGCTCCTTAACCACCACATCACCTGCTGTCCCCCTTTTCTGAAAATATTAACTATTTTTTCACATGCTTTGTTTGAGCGGACCTCTCAAGAATCCAAAAATGTCTAGAATGTATACCAGAAGGATTTTTTTAAGAACTGGAGGAGTGGTGTCTTTCTAGTATTCCTAATCTTAGAAGAAACCTGAACTTTCACCTTCTTATTATCGGTACAAATTGAATGTCAGTATTAATTAATTCCCGTAACATGCATTTGTGTGTGTGTGTGTGTTTGCCAGACACTGGATCAGGTGTTAGGGCACATAAGAGTAAGATGTGGTGCATACCTTCAAGAAGCTTAAAGTCACAGGGAAGCTGTGTATAAATGAAAAGTATGAAAGACACTGTAGTAAAGTCTCTAGAAAATAGAGTGGGACATAAGGAGAACATTGACTGGTTCTAGCTGGAGGAATGGTTAGACCAGGAACATAGGTCTTGATGAGTGTCACGAGACTTGTATGAAAAGAACAGTTAGCGGCCAGACAGGGTGGCTAGTTCCTTGAGGCAGATGGACACTCTGGCAAGGTATAGGCCATCAGGAGAACTTAGAGAGCTCCCAAAAAATGTGCAGAGACAGAAAGGGTCTGGATCAAATTGTGTGTGCCCCAGTGGTGAAGACTTTTAACTAGGAGGTTAGTATCCAGGCGTGTGTTTTACAAAGGCCTTCAGGGAGTGTAAAGAATGGATTTAGAGAAGTGCAAGACTGGAGACGAGAATGGTTATGGGAGGGGCTATGTGGATATGAAGTAGTGCAGTAGCCAAAGGATCAGAGGAGAGTGAATGGAATGAAATTGTCTTAAGGAAAGGAATCAGCATGTTGTCATTAAAGATGAAGGGAGGGCCGGCGGATGATGTGGTTAAGGGACTAGACTCCCACCTGGTCAACCATGGTTTGAGTCCCAGGCTTGGCAGCTTGCTTTCTCACTTTCCCTCTCTGTCACACTCTGTTTAAATTAAAAATAATAATAATAAATTAATAAAAGTAAATACAGGGATCAGCAGTTGGCGTAATGGCTATATCACTGGACTCCCATGTAGTCGACCACGGTTCAAGTCCTGGATACAGTGGCTTAAACTTGCACTGGGCGCATGTGTGTGCGTGTCCAACATCCCAAGAGGAGAATGGAGGGGAAGGGACTGCAATGTGGCCATCCCCCCGGGGGGTGATTTCTCACTTTCTGTCTCTCTGTCTTTCTGATGAGTGCATGTGCACTATACTAAAAACCTCTCCAAAAAATAAATTTAAAAATATTCCCAAAAAAATAGACAAAAATAAACAAAGGGAAAGGTGGAGTATAGAGTGCTGTTCATGGTTTCTGAGGGTTGATATTGCCACTGGCCTTAATAGAGACTGGAGGAGGTACACCTTCTTCAAAGACGAGTTCATTTTTCTCTCCATTGTTCCCCATTTTTTCTTATGAATGCTGTTTCATTGATAACACTAACATTAAGAATAGTGTGGGGGTAGGTGCCATGGTGGTTAAAGGCATTGGATTCCCATGTGGCCAGCTGTGTTCGAGTCTCAGACCTGGTGGCTTGCTTTTTTGCTTTCCCTTCCTCTCCCTGTCTCTCTTTGGTCAAATTTTAAAATAATAACAATGATAACAAAAACAACACATGGAAATAAATAATTCTTGAGAAGTAAATAAATTTAAAAAAAAAAAGAATAGTCTAGGGACCAGCAGATGGTATAAGGGTTACATTTGGACTCCCACATGGCCTACCAAGGTTCAAGTCCCAAACCCAATACCTTGAAATTCATGCCAGGTGTGTGTGCGTGCGTGCCAAAAATCCCAAGAGGAGAGTGAAAGAGAAGGGGTTGAGATGTGGCTGTCCCCCTGTGGGGTGATTTCTCTCTTTCTTTCTCTCTGGTGAGTGCACGCA